AATTAATCTCTGGCTGAGGCTGGAGACACTGCATTTTGATCTGTTCCAAAGATTAGAATTGTCTACTCTCTAACGAGTCAATCCAGGGGGCTGGAAAGATGGCTCGGTAGGCAAAGGCACTTGCTTCCAAATCCAACAACCTGAGTTTAATCCCTTGTTCCTACATGGTGGAGAGACTTGTTACACAGGAGAGAAATAACTTACAAGCTGAGCTCTGAACTTAAATATACTTGTACCATGACACATTCCTCCAGATGCAAAATAAATAACTAAATGTGAAAATATAGAAGAAGGAGGAGGGGGCAGTGGTGGCGCACGCCTTTAATCCCACCACTTGGGAGGCAGAGGCAGAGGCAGGCAGATTTCTGAGTTCGAGGCCAGCCTGGTCTACAGAGTGAGTTCCAGGACAGCCAGGGCTACACAGACAGGACTACACAGAGAAACCCTGTCTTGAAAAACAAAAAAAAAAACCCAAAAAAACAAAAACCAAAAACAGAAGAAGGAGGAGGAAGAAGAGGAGGAAGAGGAGGAGGAGGAGGAGGAAGAGGGGGAGAACAAGAACAGGAGGAGGAAGGGGAGGGGAGTTAATCCAGCTGGTCTTGTCAATTACTTAGCCAAAATACCACTTCTTGGGAATGGAGATTCACCTAAGGACCCCATAAGAAGATGAGAGGAACAGCTATCCCTTTAACAGGAGGATATACTTTAACAGGAGGATACACTTACCCTTCTCAGATACTTCTTTCCCATGTAGCTCTGCTAAGTCTGCTTATTTCTCTGAGTTACTGTAAACTTGTGACCCCTCTTCTCTTTTCCCAAAGCTTATACATACATATCTCCTGATACTCTGGCCTTTTTCACTTTGTCTTTGAGGCCACCACATCCTTCCACCACAAGGACGCTTGCAAACATCAAGACTGTTTCTCTTCCTCTTCTGTCTCCTTCCTCCAGGGAACCTCCACGGCTTACCTATCATGTTTGTCTCTCAAGCTCTAAAGACTGTCACAGAGCTTCCTTCAAATCCTTAGTAAACTAATCAATGGAGCTAAGAACCCCTGGAAGGGAACCCCAGCTTTCTCAGAAACAAAGTTAAAGTTTTGTTAAGTTACAAAGTGTGCACTGATTGGGTAGATGATGATGTCCTTTCAAAACTGGTTCTAGAAATAAAGTTTATCCACTTAAAATCAAGGGTAAAAGAAAATGAGAAGACTTAAAAGTCTTTACCATAATCAAACACTTAGAAATAATGTGCAGCCAGGCAGTGGTGGCACACACCTTTAATCCCAGCACTTGGGAGGCAGAGGCAGGCAGATTTCTGAGTTCGAGGCCAGCCTGGTCTACAGAGTGAGTTCCAGGACAGCTAGGGCTATACAGAGAAACCCTGTCTCGAAAAGCCAAAGAAAAAGAAAGAAAGAAAGAAAGAAATAATGTGCAATAAAATACCCTTATTAGATTATTGCAATGCCTTTCTTTTCTAAGAATGTTACCAGAGTTTTTAATGTTCAACACTTTGGCTTAACTCAGCCACCCATTCCAAATAAACCAATTAAAGACACAAGTAATATCAAAAAGCAGAGAGAGAAGTGGTCACATTGGGGTGAGGAACAAATGGGCTAGTAACCTCCAGATCTACCTTCAGGTTACTAACATAAAGTTTATATTTAAGTAAAGGCCAAGGAGACACATAGTTCTGGTTAAGGAGAAGTTCCATCCATCCCCTGTCTCTAGTCTAGTCTGTCCAGCAGGATGGTCTGGTGACTCTCAGGACGATGTGAACTCTCGGGAAACAAGTTCCTCTCTGGCTGCTATGAGGGCATCCTTTCCCTCAGCATGGGATTCCTGGGGAAATTTTAATTCTTTGAGGCCCATTGTTTCAATATTCTGAGAACCAAAGAGAGGAGTGTAAGTGTCCTCTTTTTGGGACTCGAGAGTGACTTCATTTGTGATTCTTAGGAATCACCATTTGAGGTTAGAGTGATGGCTCAGCAGTTAAGGCTGTTTCTTGTTCCACTAGAGAGCCCGAATTCACATCCTGGCACCCACAACCATGAGTAACTTCACCTCCAGGGAATCTGATACCCTCTTCTGGCTCCCATAGGCACCCCCACATATGACATATACTCACACAGACAAGGCACATAAATAAAAATTAAATATAAATATTTATGAGCTGACATCATTTTACCAGGAAACTGAGAATTAACATTTCAATATCTATCTTCTAGTTGGATGTCTTGAATAGACAGGGGTTTTTTCTTCAGTCTCAAATTCTACAGTTAATTCTATCTTTCTCTTTTTCTTTCTTTCTCTCCCTTTCTTTCTTTCTTTCTTTCTTTCTTTCTTTCTTTCTCTCTCTCTCTCTCTCTCTCTCTCTCTCTCCTGTTCTGGGAATTGAACAAGGACCTCATGTGTGTTAGACAATTGCTCTACCACTGAGCTACCACTTTTTAAAAAGGTGTGTAGAGAAAGAAAAGAGTAAAAACAGAGTAGACAGGCAACAGTATCTGTATATTAATGTAGTTTTAAAATCATCTTCAAGATACTCAGGTACATGTACACACACACACACAAGCAGATTTTAAATATGATTTACCAAGAGTAGTAATTTTGTTATATAATAAGTTGAAAAAAATGCAAGTCAGTTATCTTATGAGCTCTAGGGGCAGATTAATTTTTGCCCCATGCTATTTTAGACATGACATGACACTCACAAGAAATGACATTAATTCAGGCACATTCTTAGATAATTCATCATAAGTTTGCAAGTGGTCAGCTAGAATTCTAGGAGCACCAGAGCAATACAGGGAGGTCACAGTTAGTTTCCTTAACACTCTTGTTTAGGATCTTATATCCCTTCCTTGCTAGTCACCAGAACAATTTAAATTTCCCTGCCATGCCGGCAGATGCCTAAGTCATCTACCAAATTCCAGATTAATTCAGAAGAGCTTCCAAAGACAAAAGCCAGCCACAAAACATCAGCTACCCAAAGAGTTCAATAGAGCCCTGATTTGCTTCAAAAGAGCTTTCAGACGCAAGACTGGTCACAGATATGTCAGTCACCCAAGTGGTTCAGTAGAACTCCAGAGGTTCAGAAGAACCTCACTAGACAAGGAATCATTCTTACTGTCAGACAAACTGTAGCAACTCAAATTAGCTTAAGGAAGACCACAATAGCTCAAAAGACACCCCCCCCCCCAAGCCAATGAGGAGAAGGCAAGGTAAGGCCCAAGTCTACCAGGGTAGTTACAGTTTGAGTGAGCCAATAAGCAGCACCCTGTCTGCAGCAGACACCCCTATCTGACAAAGATTATGTATCTGACTGCCATCACTTCCCAAAGTCCAGAAAAGTGGTACTTTGCTCAAGGTTATGTGAATCCAATGTTGGGCCAAAATTCAAATTTCCTTTTTCCCTCCAAGGCAATTAGAGACAAAGGTTCTCTTGTAGTTTAAGCCCTTCACTATGTCAAAGGTCTCAGCCTATTGCTGCTCTGAAGAAAAGTGACCTGTGAACAAATTTACATTCTAGAGTTAACGATCCACAAAACCTAGGACATTTGCATTTCTAAAAGGTTACTGGAAATGATGGTGGAGACTTGGTTTCCTTAGTGACACTTTTAGGCCTGATAGGTGCCACTGCTGACTGGGTCTAGCTGAGCTCTCTCACCAGAGCTTCTTTTAACTCAGCTGCCCTCGGTGACCCCATCTTGGTGGTTGCTCTCCCACGAAGGCCTGCCCTCCCCTCGAGTCAGCATGTGCTTGTAGTGTTCAGGGAGACTCAGTTCACCGGGAAGTGGTGGTAACCAGGAAATCCTAGTGGGACTGATAAAATACTACCACAGGGATCCACTGAAATGGTGGTCAGGATGTTAAGAGGAAGAGAAAGAAAACTCAACCGAGAAGAAAGAACATGCAGAGAAGATGCAGGATCTGAGAACCACCTAGGTTTACAACACTCATCTACCCTGTTCAATTTGAGGCTATAAACACAGTTCAGTAGCCTTCCTACTGGAAGCAGGAAGCAGCAAACTAGGCTGTTACAGTCTTTAATGACAGGATGTCTTAGCTTTTCTTTTTAAAGATTTATTTTCTTTATATGAGTACATACACTATCTTTGGACATACCAGAGAAGGGCATCAGATTTCATTACAGATGGTTGTGAGCCACCTTGTTGTTGCTGGGAATTGAACTCAGGACTTCTGGGAAAGCAGTCATTGCTCTTAACTGATGAGCCATCTCTCCAGCTCCCAAATTCCTAAAGAGAATTTATGTCAATGTCTTAGGTAGGGTTTTGTTGCTGTGAAGAGAAACCATGACCACAGCAACTCTTATAAAAGAAACATTTAATTGGGGCTGGCTTACAGTTTCAGAGGTTTAGTTCATTATCATCATGGCGGGAAGCATGGCAGTGTGCAGGCAGACATGGTGCTGGAGAAGAAGCTGAGAGTTCTACATCTTGATCCACAGGCAGCAGAAGGAAATGGTGTGCCTGCCATACTGGGCATAGCTTGAGCCTATAGGATACCTCAAAGCCCACCCCACTTCCTCCAACAAGGCCACACCTCCTAATAGCCATTCCCTGTGGGCCAAGAATGCAAACACGTGAGTCTATTGGGACCATACCTATTCAAACCACCACAGTCAACTCTTAAAGTGAAACTTTATTCATGAATTTACTTATTAATCTTCACAACATAAATACAGTTTAAAAAGGAAGGAAAAGACAGACCGACAGATGGACAGACAGACAGACAGAACAGGTTAGAGGAGAAGCTCTTTGGACAGAATCAGTCTTCACTCACTTCTGGACTAAATCTCCATAGAGAGTCTCAAACTGATCCCAAGAAGAAAGGAAAAGTCTGACTTTTTGTAAAGTTTTGGAGAGAGTGAGAAACTTCATATAACAATGATTTATCTCTCCACAGAACTTGTGACAACACATGGGAGAGCCCAACTACCGTAAATTGAAAGCTGTCAGATCACAGCACAGAATGCTACTTACCTTCCTTCCAGGGAGAGCGGCAGAGCAGTCTGATTCACGCCCATAGGTGCAGGCTTGTGTTTTAACACTAAGAAAATCTCCATTTTACAGAGCTTGAAAACAACTAAAAATATGTCCGGGTCTGCCTTTAACAAGGGTCAGGTTTTTATCTGGGTCTGTCTCCGAAACTTGTGCTCCTGGGTTGTTATTCTCCTTTGTTTGCTTTAATTTCTGACGTAGGGTCTCTCTGTGTGGTCCAGAGTAGCCTTACGTCATCCACGTCTTCACTGAGGCCACCATCCTCCTGCCTCAGTTTCCCGAGTGCTGAGATTACAGGTGTATACCACCAAAGTCATCTTGTTCTTTATCAGTGGACTTTTGATTTTTCTGACAGATCTTTTCCAGGACTAGAAATACACACTTGATATCACATGTTCCTTTTGAAGAATTTCCTTTTCCGGTTGGCATATTTCAGTTTTTAGTTGCGTGTCCCCGTGTTTGCAACCATTTCCTGTTACACGCATCTCCTATGCTGTCCTTTCCAGCTGCAATGGGAAAGACACTCTCTGGGTTTGGTTTCAGCTTAGTGTTTCCAGAAATGCCCTACCTGGTTTTGTGATTATTTCAATTGATAGTTTGTCCAAAAGATATTTTCTTGCTCTTCCATCTCAGTGAAATGGTTGGGTCTGAGAAAGCTCAGTGCGCAAACCTTTCTGACCATCTTCACATCTGGGTGCTCAGAGAAAACCACATATGCAGCATAAACAAATGAGGCTGTTCACAGCTGGCACAACCGTGCCACCAAACCATTCTGGAGCTTGAGGGACACTCAAAGAGAGGGACACAAGCTAGAGTTATCTGAAAGTTATTGAAAAAAATACCTCCACAAGATCCAGCTGTAAGGCATTTTCTAAGTGGTTGGTGGGGAAGGGCCCAGCCTATTGTGGGTGGTGCCACTCCTGGACTGGGGATTCTGGGTTCTATAAGAAAGCAGGCTGAGCAAGCCAGTAAGCAGCATCCCTGCTTGACCTCTGCATCAGCTCCTGCCTCCAGGTTCCCACCCTGTTTGAGTTCCTGACCTGACTTCCTTCAGTGAGGAACAGCAGAATGGAAGTAGATGGCAAATAAATCCTTAACTCCCCAACTTGTCTTTTGGTCATTCTTTTAGTTAGAGTTTTACTGCTGTGAACAGACATCATGATCAAAGCAACTCTTACAAAGAACGTTTAATTAGGGTTGGCTTACCGGTTCAGAGGTTCAGTCCATTATCATCAAGGCAGGAGCATGGCAGCATCCAGGCATGGTACAGGTGGAGCTGAGAGTTCTACATCTTCACCTGAGGCTGCTAGAAGAATACTGTCTTCCAGGCTGCTAGGATGAGAAACTTATAGCCCACAGCCACAGTGACATACCTACTCCAACAGGACCACATAATAGTGTCACTCCCTGGGCCAAGCATATACAAACCATTGCATTTCACTCCCTGGCCCCCATAGGCTTGTCCAAAACACAGGAGTCTATGGAGACCATATCTAAACATATCATAATGCAAAATACATTTAGTCCAATTTCCAAAGTACCCATAGTCTACAGCAGTTCAACAATGTTAAAAGTTCAAAGTTCAAAGTCTCTTCTGAGATTCATCCTGTATCATAATTGTAATTCCCAAAGCAAGACAGGAAACCAGCTGGGCAAACCCCAAACTCTGCATCTCCGTGGCTGATGTCAAAGCAGTCTTCAGATCTCCAACTTCGTTTTCATCTTTGTTGACTACAATAAACTTCTTTCTCCTGGGCTGGTTCCACTTCCTGTTAGCAGTTTTCCTCAGCAGATAGCCCATGGCTCTGGCATCTCAAGCATCTTGGAGTCTCCAAGGCAACTTCAATGTTACAGCTCCTTGTTCCTATAGGTAGGATCCACACACACTCTTCTGACTCCTCCAAAGAGTCCCTCCAGCTCTGCCCTCTGTAGCACTCTAAGCTCATGTTGATCCACTCCACTGCTGCTGCTGTTCTTGGTGGTCATCCCATGGTACTGGCATCTCCAATACACTGGTGTCTTCTGCTGCAACTAGGCTTCACCAATAGCTTCTTGTAGGCTCTCTTCATGATGGCAAGCCTCAACTCCTTTACATGACTTCTTCAGTTCTGGGCCTTCAGCAGCAACTGAGGCTTCTCCTTCACCAATGGCCTCCTATGGCTTCTCACAGTGCCAAGCCTCAGCTGCTCTTCATGACCCCTTCATGCCTTCAAAACCAGTACCACCTGGGTGACTTACACATTTCCAAATACAGCTGCAGCACAAGGTACAACTCTGGCTATCTCTGGAGCAAGACTTCTTTGTACTCTCAGAAAACACTTGGCAGAAGATTTTACTTCAGTGATGCTGATCTCTTAATCACCACTAATTTCTTAGCTCCAGCTAACCAGCATCAATTATCCCAGTAGTTTCTTTCTCCTCTTGACTATAAAGTCAGAGAAACATGGCTAAAGCTGCCAAGTTCTGCTGCTTGCAGGAGCTGGAACTTGGCCCTCTTGTTCTATTACATCATCACTAGCTTCCTCTTTTCCAACTCCTTTACTACCTAAGCTTGGCTGTCCTGGATCTTGCTCTGTAAATTGACCTTGAACTCAGAGATCTGCATGCCTGTCTTCTGGGATTAAAGGTATGTACCACCATGCCTGGACTTAAGCTTTTCTTCACCTAGAACTTGCTCTGTCTCAGGCTGGCCTTGAACTCAGAGATCTGCTTGGCTTTATCTCCTGGGATTAAAGGCGTGTACCACCATGCCGGGTCTAAACTTAACTGGATAGGATCTTGCCCCAAACCCCACTCCCTTCATTCAATTTACTATCCTTGAACACAGGATTCAGCTCCATTTCACTTCCTGGTGCCCCTTTAATACTTGAACCATATATTTTATATTTTTCCTTTCTCAGCTTTCTATGTTTGTTTAAAATGTTCTTCATGAGACTTAACCAGAGAACAAAGTCTATGATGGTCATTTCTGAGACTTCCTTTGTCAGTGCAATTAATCTGAGACTCTTCACCTTACACTCAGGCAGACTCTTCAGACAAGTGCAAAAATTGGCCACATTCTTCACCAAAATACCACAAAAACAGTCTCTAGGCCACTGAAATTCTTCTCCATTGAGACCACTTGGGCTAGATCTGAACAGTTCAAATCATTCACAACAATATAGTCTTCCATATTCCTACTAGGATAGCCCATTAAGCATTCTACTGCTTTCCAAATCCAAAGTCCCCAAAACCACATTCTTCAAAACAAGCATGGTCAGGCCTATCACAGCAATACCCCAGTCCCTGGTACCAACTTCTGTCTTAGTGTTTTATTGCTATAAACAAACAACATGACCAAGGCAACTCTTACAAGACCAACATTTTTAAGTGGGACTGGCTTACAAGTTCAGAGGTTCAGTCCATTATCATCAAGGCAGGAGCATGGCAGCATCCAGGCAGGCATGGTGCAGGAAGAGCTGAGAGCTCAACATCTTCATCCGGAGGCTGCTAGCAGAATACTGACTTCCAGGCAGCTAGAATGAGAGACTTAAAGCCCACACCCACAGTGACACACCTACAGGGCCACACCTTCTAATTGTGCCACTCCCTGGGCCAAGCGTATACAAACTATCACAGTTATGGTGTTTTGTTGCATCGATAGAAACCCCAATGAAGATAAAGAGTCAGTGCGAGAGCTCACAAACGCAGATCCGAAGGTTCCGGAAGAGTCTGGGAAGCTGCTGGAACACTGTAGTGAGCACAGAGCTTCAACCCTGAATACGCCTGGCTTTGTTTTCTGATGCTGTCCCTCAGGATCATCCGGCCTGGAACAAATCATTTTAGCTTCTTTGAAAGTGAAATTTCTTCCTGTGTAAATTGAGGATGATCTGGGATTGTTGCAATAATGGAGTAAGTCTAGTGCCTGCTTCACAGTTAGTTAGCATTCCTGTGTTTACATAATTATGTTTTGTTCCTTAGTATGTTAACGATATACTATTCTTACGTTTCCTTTTCTTTCGTTCTTTTAAAAGGCATATATTTTTCTTAATGTCCCAAAGAAGAAAAATTCAGAGTTTGGGGGTGGGCAGCATATCACTGGACTGTGATGTCACTAGTCCAACATGACTTGGATACTTACTTATCTTTTTTTTTCAGATAGACAAAGTTTATTTTATTATTTTTACTTTTAAACTTTTTATTGGTTCTTTGTGAGTTTCACATCATGTACCCCAGACCCACTTATTTCCCCATCCCCTAGTATCCACTCTCCACCCTTGTAACCTCCCCCACAAATAAAAAATACACAAACAAAAAAAAGATAAACAAAACAAAGCATAGAAACATCTGGCTGTGGAAGTTATGGTGTGCCAAAGTTTGTCTGTGCCACAGTATACCCGTGTCCACACATCTTCACTTGTAAATGTTCACTGCAGTGAGTCATTGGTCTGGTCTGAGGTCTCTGGCTTCTGGGACACCATCAACATTGGATCCTCACCGGGACTCCACCATCTTACCCTGTGTCATGGAAATCCCGCAGCTTTGGATCAGCAAGACCAGCCCTTTTGCACATGCTGTAACTACTCACAGTTTACAGCGAGGGGCGGGGCCGATTTTGCACATCACCTGGACATCCACGTGGTCCCAGGTGGCTGCCCAGACCCAGGGACAACCCACGGTCTCTAGCGGTAATATGAGCCACAGACACTGACATTGACCCCTGCCACTGCATAGCCACGGATCCAGACGTGGTCCTCTGCAATAGCGTGGGCGGAGACTTCATCATGACCTCAGGTGGTGGGGCTGGCTTTCTCATAACAGGCTTTTCCTCTTTTCCCTCTAGTCTCTAGGTCCATCGTCCTTCTCAGTGCTCAAACAATTCTGCTCCTCTTTCCCATCTGTCCACTACACACTTGCACACTGTAGTGGCTCCCACACTCCAGGCAGGCCATGTGGCTGGTGAGCCTCTGGGTGACCTCTGCTTGCACCGCGTGGCATGGCTTGGTGGCAAGCAGGCCTCTCTGGCAGCAGAGGGTCTATGGACGGCTTCCCCTTTCTGTACCACGTGGCATGGAGGCAGGCGGGCCTCTGTATGTCTATGGCCCACAGAGCCGTACAGCAAGAGGCGGGTCCCTGAGTATTTTCCTTCTCTCACGCTGTTCAACATGGTGGCAGGCAAGATTCTGTGTCTGCAGCCTGTCCAGGCTTTGTGTTAGAGCGCAGATCTCTGGGCATGTTTCTTTGCCCGCACCAGAGCTGCGTAGCATGGAGGTTGACAGGTCTCTGCATGTCTCCTGGCTTTACTTTTAACCTCTACTGCCCTCAGCACAGTCCTAGGAATACTGCAATGACCTCCTTGTCATTAACCTCACAGCACAGCAGTCAACGGCTCCAGTCCGAGGCAAGTCAGGATGCTTTCTATTCTAGAGGTATATTTAAAGTACTGATGTCATCCCATTGCTCTCTTTCCTTAGGTTAAAATTCAGATAAGAGCTGGCAGGGGCGGGGCTGGGAGATGAGATGGCACCCGTAGTAAAGTCAGATGGTAGATAGGGTGGAACTGTTGAAGACTTCTCAAGACCACAGTGTATAAGACAAATTTATAATGTCTTTTCCTTTACAGTTACAGCTTGCTTCCCGAAAGAGCATTTGGGGAGAGGCCTCAGAAAAGCTCCCCAAGACTGATTCCCAAACATTGCATCATCTGAGGGTGCTGACAGGAAGCAAGAAAAACTAAAAACCATTCATTCGTGATGTATCCATAGGTTTTTTTCAAAAAAAAAAAAACCTTGAGTATGGTTGTTTCTTTACCAGTGTCAATTTTAAATATCGCCCCACCTTGTTTGGGAGGAATATTTACTAAAGCCTTAAGTCTCCTTTCTTTCACTACCGAGAAATTTTCTGCTACCTAGTGGGTAGCATCAGGGTGTGTTGCTAAACATCCCACAGTGCACAGGGCAAGCCCTCACCAGAATTATGTGACAGCCATCCTGCTGCTGCACACCTGCAGTCACAGTATCCTGGAGGCTGAGATAGGAGGAGCTCAAGCTTGAGGCTAACCTGGGCTACATAGCCAGTTCCAGGCCAGCCTGGATTATATAACAACACATGTCTTAAAAAATGTTTTTCTGCTAAAAATGCCATTGCTGCTGAAGCTGAGAAACTTTGAATGGGCAGAAATGGTGATCTTCATTTTACAGACCAGGGAGCCTGAAGTTCTCGGAAGTTCTGATGCTAGAACTTGTTCTTACAGCTTGGAAACCTATGATCTTTTACCATGCCACAGTGGTGAGAACGGTCAGTGTTGTGGGGGCGGGGGGAGGGGGTGATCAGGGTTAAGATCTAGGGAGCAAACTGATGCTCACTAGGTACTTACAGAGGAGCGGGTGAAGGGGAGCGTGAAGGATGTGTGTTGTACTGCTCTTCTAACGTGTTCTGGCTTTTGGTCTACAATCCGAGAGTAAGCTGAGGATTGTGACAACCGAGAAATCCACGTGATGGTAGGTGGGCTGCTCGGGTACCGTTATTCAGTTTCTGGAGGGATCCAGATCCTACAGACTGGACCTCCAAAAGATTCTTGCCAACCATCCTCCATCACTTGAGGGACACAGACCGAAGCAAATGACTTCTGAGCTGAGTTTGAGTGACCATTTCCCTCTCTGTACTAGAGGCCCAGGTCAGCTATGGCTCCAGTGGAACAAGAAGGGAGTTGCCTCTCAGTTTCCAAGAAAAAATTTCTGTGATTTGAGCTGAATCCAATTTATTCTGGTCAGTCCTGAATCTTCTAATAGAAAACGGATGAAAGGAAAGGGGGTGGAAGGGGAGGAGCCCATGATTAAACAGACCGTTTCTTTTCACTTCCCCATTTGGACTTCAGAGTTTTGTCTGTTCTCTGGGTACAACCTGCTAAGCCTGGAGAGAAAGCCTGTGCCTGCAGCTGACTCTCTCCAGAGCTGATGGGAATTCTGCCGCCGTTCCTACCACTCCCCATGGAGAGCAACTGGACTGTACATGTGCTTTCACGGGCTTTGTGCCTTATGCTACTGTGGACAGCCGTGCTAAGTAAGTCAGGACTTCCAGAAGGGAGGCAGGGGTAAGGACACCTGGGCTGGGGTTGGATGAACCAACATGACATAGGAAGCATGTCAGCAAAACAGGTCTAAGTAACAGGCTAATAATTACAATGTAACAACCTTTGAACAATCAAAGCTGGCAGGAGTTTTTGCTGTTTCTTCTTTTCTTGTTTCTTGGTACCACCCTCTCCTCCTCTGATAGAAATCTAGTGTCCTAGACTTAAGTGAGCAATTAAAAGACCAGTTTCTCTTTGAAGTTGTGGTTCACACAGGACCAAATCTTAGGTGAGATGTCTAGTAATGCTTTAGACAAGGGTTGGGAGACAGCTCAAAGATGCTTTTGAAGGGTGTCGGTGGACATTCCCTGTGTCCCTAAAGTCACTCTGTCCATCAGAAGAGCACCTCATTTAACTTTATTATATAAGGAGAGGTATAGGGAGGTCTGGCTTGTCCTGGGAACTTGGGTTCAGGGTTTCACAAACCTGGGCAAGTCTGGAGTTGTCAGTTGTGGGGCCAGAAAAATCTTTCATTGCATAGACAATAGGACTTGGTCCTGGCCCTGCTAAGTAAGAAAGTCAGGGTTAGGGTCTTAGGTGGAGGAAGATTTTCTGGTCCTGATCTCATCTGTGGCCAGAGGACAAAAACTGATGGTGCCAGGACATTAGAAGAGTCTGGGTGATTGCCCAGTAAGAGAGCTCTTTTGCAGGAGCATCTTCTAAGCTCAGTTCCTGGGGCATCTACTCATATCTCTGAGAAGGTGGCATACAGCTACCCACCCATCCCAAGTTACATGCTATGACTCATAGTGAAACCTGGTCAGCACTGAGGGACCTCAGTGCTCTCTCTCTCTCTCTCTCTCTCTCTCTCTCTCTCTCGCTCTCGCTCTCGCTCTCGCTCTCTCTCTCTCTCTCTCTCTCTATATATATATATATATATATATATTTGATACCAGATAGCTTGGTTTTCACACAGGAAGGTCAAAGGTCAGCCCTAAAGAGATAATATGCCTTTCTATTTGTGCCATTTCACTTGGTGAAATCTCCCAAGAATGACATTTTCTTCTACTTTCCTTTGGTACATCTCCATTTTCCCCATTTTCCCCCCTGGGCCTCCACACTTAGGACTTCATCACTTCATTCAATTTTATAGTACCCTCTGACTGTATCTTGATTGCTCCTGACTGTGGTCCTGAGTAGCTATAGAATCTTCCCATACAGCGATGGGACAGCATGGTGCTTTCTAAGGACCTTCAGTGTAGGCCTATTGTCTCCCAGTAAAGCTCCAGGACTGTCATAATCATCATGTTCCCATTTCTCCCACACTGGATCGTCCTCAGCCAAGCAGAGAGGACACTACACTTGACTTTTACTGCCTGTGTTTCTGCTGATTCTTAAAGTTCTTTGTGCCAGACACTGTTCTGGATTTGGGGTCTTATCAGCAAACAAAACAGTTTTCCTGACCTGAAGTACGAGGTCTCCATCTTCCTTACAGCGAGCACTGGACATGAACAGACTTCTCATTACTGTCTCTTGGATATAGATTGAAGCGTGAATGACAGCTTCCCTCTTCTGCATCTCTGTTTTTTGTTTTTGCTTTATTTTCTTTCTTATGCTCTGTACTGTCCCCCTTGCCAGTCCTATGTACTCAGGAATTTTAACAATTACGTCTACATCACTAACTTCCAGGTTTATTTGTCCTTCCTTCCCCTGTATACTTAATTTCTCTGCCTGTTGATCAGACACCTATAGATTTGCCAGCTCAGACACAAATTTATATTCAAAATTCAACATAGCATCATTTCCTTACACATTTTCTTACTTTTGTAATATTTCTATTTACATGAGCAAAGCCACTTCTTCCCTGGTCATCCATTTTTATCAATCTTATGTCTCATTAGATGCCAAGTTTCCTCCGTCTTGTCTCTTAGCTTTCTCTCACGTGTGTCTTCTTTGCTTCCTATTGTCAACGCAGATGAGCAAGCAAGGTCATGAGGGACTATGGGTCCATTTGATGGAGTCAAAGGATAAGTCAGTTAAGGGGACCTACCCACAGGATTTGAGAAGTAAAGGCAGGAAGAACTGTAGTTCAAGACCAGCACGGGCTACATGAGACCTTGTCTCAACAACAACAGCAGCAAGAACATGATAAAGGACTTTGCAGTGATGAGGTGATAACGCTGAATGTGGTGTGTGTGTGTGTGTGTGTGTGTCTGTGTGTGTGCATCTGTGTGTGTCTGTGTGTGTGTGTGTGTGTGTGTCTGTGTGTGTGTCTGTGTGTGTCTGTGTGTGTGCATGTGTGTGCGCGTCTGTGTGTGTCTGTGTGTGTGCATGTGTGTGCGCGTCTGTGCGTGTGAAGGTGAGTGTGGACTTAGAGGTAGACGGTGATGAGGCGGTGATCAGATGGTCACAGAGGCTGGACTTGGGCAATGGAAGAGAAGAGGGCTGGAGGAGGATTGTGACTGAAGCCTCGGATATTTCATTTTGTGGCTTTTGAAGTTTGTGTGGTTCGGGGAGATGACGACGAGGCCTTGAGGTATAGCGTGGGGCTGTGTTGCTGAACTGTACGAGACGAGGGAAGATTCACTGCAGATGAGGAAGTCAGGGCATGATGCAGCCAGCTGTTGCACAGGCCATTACACGTGTCCTAGATCACCGGTAACCATCTTTTTCTTACTAATCTCCAGGACTTCCTCTGTCCCAATTAGTCTGACACAGCACTTTCAGCTCCAAAACGAACTTCTCGTTGTTTACTGCGCTAAACAGCAAACTTTGGGAATTTGCCTATGATCATTTAAAGGGTACCCACGTGGTATGTTTGGAACTTCACAGATACCTTCTCTGGATTATCACTAATCCTTACAGCAATTATAGCATGGGTATTGCTGTCATCATCCCCATTTATAAGCCAAGGAATCAAAGCAGAGAAAAGTAAAGCTGCCTACGCAAGGCCATTGTGCACCAGTTATATTACTTACTTTTCTCATTGCTTTGTCAAAACACCAGGCAAAAGCAACCTAAGAAAGGGTTTATTTTGACATATCTTTCGAGGGCATTGTGGTGGGAAGAAGATATGGGGACACCTTGGCTGGACACCTCACACCCATACTCAGGAAACAGGTGGATGTTAGTACGTAGCTGGCTTCCTCCTTTTCTCTTGTTTATTTGAGCCTGGACATTGGAAGGAGACACTCATATTCAGGGTGGGTCTTAGCACTATAGCTAAATTTTTCCAGAAACAGTCTTGAAGACACAATGAAAGATGTTTCCATGGTGATTCTAAATCCGGTCAAGCTGATAATGTAGACCATCACAGTGGTAAAGTCAACGTGTAAATTGTGTGTGTGTTCTCACTTCTTGCCATTCTGCTTGGCATCGACAATCCTCCAGAATATGGCAGTCATCTCCATTTTCAACTGTGTTCCTCAATATCGAGGGTGGTTTTTTCTGTTTGTTTGTTTTTTGTTTGTTTATTTTAACCAAAGAAGCAGTCAGGCTGAGACTTGCTCAGAGTGTTGACAAGAATCCGTCAGTCTTTCTTAGGGAATATTCTTTTTCTGTTTGTCACAATGACAGAACACTTGAAGCTGCATGATGAACATTTCCTCACTTTCTCCCCTTGACTAAACTCAGCCAAGTACAACGCCCCAGAATCTCTTCCTCTGCTGAACTTCCTAGAGTTTGCTTGTCCATTCTCTTCCGATGGCATTGAGAATGTCTCTTTTATAAGATGTGGCAGTGTAGGACCAGGGGTGCAGAATTGGGTAGATCTCAGGGAGTAGAAGGCTAGCCTGGTCTATAAAGTAAGTTCTAGGCCAGTCACAGTCATGTAATGAGACCATATCAAAACTAAAGGTCCTTTTAAGATTACATTTGCACACATGCGTATTCTTATCATCAGACTGTTGGCTTCAGTGAGGATCAGAGACTTTTATCTTTTCTTTTAGATATTCTCAGCAAGGCACAAGGTGGTCAAAGCAATTTCTTGGATTACAAAGGGATGGAGTAGTAGGGATTTAAGTGTGCATCCTTAGATGTGGTGATGTGGGGACCAGACTCCAGCTTTCTAGACTTCCGGAAGAATGCTCTTTCACGTAGCACCCCCTCCTCTTATCCCTGAAAGTATCCAGACTTGGAAGGCTCTTGCCTTTTCAGCTCAAGTGCAGTTGTAAATTCCCATTATGGACAGGTGCCTAAGCGCACACGCAGATGCAGATGCAGATGCACATGCACACACACACACACACACACACGTACATGCACACGCACACACATCGAGCTCTTGTTTATCCCAGGACCAGCGTTACTATTATACCCAACAGTGGAGCCACACGTCCATCCTGTAGCCAGCATTCTTGTCCCATGTCCCTTTCCCTCATCATGTGTCATTCCATCTGTTCCCATAGGAAGTCACAGTCACAGATCTATGGTCTTCTTCTTCTTCTTCTTCTTCTTCTTCTTCTTCTTCTTCTTCTTCTTCTTTTGAGACAGGGTTTCTCTGTGTAGCCCTGGCTGTCCTGGAACTCACTCTGTAGCCCAGGCTGGCCTCGAACTCAGAAATTCTCCTGCCTCTGTCTCCCAAGTGGATCTTTTCTTTTAATTTAATTTTTATTTTTGTGAATGACTATTTTGCCTACATATATGTCTGTGTACCACATGGGTGCTGGGAATCAAACCCAAGTCCCCTGGAAGAGCAGCCTATGCTCTTAAATACTGGGCCATCACTCTAGCCTCAGGATGTCCTTCCATAATTTCTTTTTTCCTATCAAATTTTTCTGGCAGCAAAACCTGGAAGACCTAAATCTTAAGCAATGGGGATGTGAAATAAATCACAAGAGAATTAATTGTAGGATACGGCGCAGATGCTCAAATGTCGATAGAGAGCAGACTAGGCTATTAGATCTTATATTACTTAGTGAAAAATCAGGCTGGAGAACACTCTTCTGGTTTTGTCTCTTTGCTGCTTGTCTGTATGTAAGCATTACACACACACACACACACACACACACACA